CTTCGAATAGACTCTTTAAAGTAGAGACACTACATACTGATATACACCTGAACATCAGCAGGAGAGGACTCTTTAAAGTAGAGATACTACATACTGATATACACCTGAACATCAGCAGGAGAGGACTCTTTAACTTAGATTTTGATGAAAGTACTTTTGTATTTCTACACTGAGTAGACTAAAACTAAAATATATGATTCTGATACTGCATAAGGTTTATAATGTATGGTAAATTATTGTTATTTTCCCTGGGTCTAAAGGAAATCATTTTGATATTGAGGTAGCAACAGAAGGTCATAAGGTTACTTTTATATTGTGATACTTCGACTGCTTACATGTTTAACCAATCATTGCAAGATGTTACATTTTTAAAGTAACCCTCCCATTCCTGTAAATTACTAATAAACCGAATGACGCATCAGAGCCCTGCTTTTTATCTTCAGCTCTCTGCTTGATTCAGTCCAAATATTCCTACTCTGTATCCTGTAGCTCGCTGATAAGTCTGAAACACATTGACTGACCCCTGACAGAGAAACAGAGGAACCATAAAAGGGCTTTGTGTGTTTTCCTGTCCTTGTTTCAGTGTGACACATGAAGGCTTTTACCACTGCTGTCAGACGATGGTGGTAAAGTGGGCGTCAAATTACCCTTAAAGTACCAACACTTTATGTATTTTTATGTTCTTAAAAATCAATAATAGTATATATTATATCACTGGAGCATCAAAACTAAAAGTACTCATTGTGTCAGAATAATATGATGTATGTTTTTATATACATTTTATAGTTGGATCTTACATCCATGCATTCATGTATGCATCTCATTAAGGTTGTAATTTTAAGGACTTAATATGCTGATATCTTATTATATTGAATAACCATTAATTTAATTCTGTATAATGTATACTAGTCTGCAAAAGTAACATTTAAAAAAAGAGTTGAAAAAAAACTTGACTCTGAGACGTACTGGAGTAGAAAGTAGTAAAAAACATAACAGAGAAATACTCAAATAAAGTACCTTGAAGGTGGGGTAGGGAACTTTGAAGAAACCACAGCCGGAAAAAATCTGCCACTTCCTTACAGAGCCCCTCCTCCAACACACACGAACTCGCACATGACCAATGAGGGCACGAGATAAGTTTGTACACAGATGGAAGGCTGACAGGCAGGTAGGCCATCCAGTTATTTTAGCCGGGCCGGCTCAGATGATTGGTCGTGCTTTTTACAGCACCACGGCTTCCACAGATGACATTTTTTAATTGATTCATTGTCAAAGCACTTAAGATATTCATTGCTATCGGGATGTTAAGAGCATTCCATGGAATATAACAACAAGTGTATCTCGAGCCGGTTTCTCAAACTTACCTACCCCACCTTTAAATTGTACATAAGTACAGTACCAGAAGTGGGAAGTAACTAAGTACATTTACTAAATTACTGTACTTAATACAGTAACATTGAGGTACTTGTACTTCACTTGAGAATATCTATTTTCTGCTACTTTTCACTACATGTATTTAATACCTTTAGTTACTTCACAGATCTGGATGAATGGTGGGAAATATAATCAAGTGTTAAATCAGACTTTAGTTCCACCTGGAGTAAATCCACAAGCTACCCTGCAGTATACAAAGTCATTCAAACTAGCTGCACCTTTACCAGCTTTGAGAACCCTTTAATGATCAATCATTATAAAACATATCATATATATTATTCTGAAATTCTGGCCCTTCCTACATCCAGGCCATGGTTAAACCGTACACCCCACCACGTGAACTCCGCTCTGCATCAGCCAAACGGCTCGCTGCCCCCGCACTGCAAGGGGGACCCAAGTTCACATCAGCAAAAACACGTGGGTTTGCTATCCTGGCTCCAAAATGGTGGAATGAGCTCCCCATTGAAATCAGGACAGCAGAACGCTTACACATCTTCCGGCGCAGACTGAAAACTCATCTCTTTCGACTCCACTTCGAGCGATAGAATTACTAACAAAGAACTGCTAACAGAGCACTTATATACTAATAAAGGGCAGGCTTATCTAAAGCCAGTTGAGTAGCACTTGAAATGTTTGGCTCTATGAAACCTGATGTACTTATATGATTCTGTTTTCTTCAAGGTTGTATCTTCCTGGTCGAATGTACTTATTGTAAGTCGCTTTGGATAAAAGCGTCAGCTAAATGCAATGTAATGTAATGTAATGAAATGTAATGAAATGGACCAATCTGCACAATGACCACTTTTACTGTCGCTACTTTAACTATATTTTGATGCTAAGACTTTTGTACTTTTACTTGAGTAACATTCTGAATGCAGGAGTTTTACTTGTAACAGAGTATTTCTACACTCTAGGATCACAGTACTTGTCCCCCCTCTTTACAGTAAAAATTACAAATTACAGATATTGTACATCTATATTTAAAAACTCTCTGCTATAATACGGTTTCCATGTGTTCAGTTTTATTCAAGGAACAAAGGCTCGATCGCCACGACTCTCCTGAAGCCAAAACAAAAACACGGATCCAAGTCCGCTGAACTGGAGCTGTCCAAAAGTACGTTTGGTGTTTATTTATACACATAAAATATAATTATTATAAACGCATCTGAAAGTGTGTACGTGTGTCTCTCTGCAGGTGGATGGCTGCTGGACATTACGAAGCTCAAACTGGGAGAAAATATTGGAGAAGGGGAGTTTGGAGGTGAGCATTCAATTTGAATTTTAAAAAGCATTTTGAACATTGAAGCATGGAAACATGTGTCACTTCTAGAGCCTCTAAATACGTATATGAACCTGAAAATGAGAATATGACCTTGAATAGTCATGTTTTGTAATTTTGCGTCTATTTTAATTTATATATAATTTGTATTATCTGTAAGTATATTCTCCATTTAGAGACATTAAAGCCCATCCTTGTGTGTCAGTGTCAGTGCAGATGTTGATGCTGTGTGTTTTCCCTGCAGCTGTGTATGAAGGAGAGTATTTGGGCCAGCAGGTGGCGGTAAAGACCATCAAATGTGACGTGACGGCTCAGGCCTTCCTGCAGGAAACCACCGTCATGACGTGAGTCTGGAGAGGTTTTAATCAGCGATGGAAGAAGTACTCAGATCTGGTACTTGAGTAAAAGTAAAAGTACTCAGATCTTGTACTTGAGTAAAAGTAGAAGTAGGCCTACTCAGATGTTGTAGCCTACTTGAGTAAAAGTAGAAGTACTCAGATCTTGTACTTGAGTAAAAGTAGAAGTGCTCAGATCTGGTACTTGAGTAAAAGTAAAAGTACTCAGATCTTGTACTTGAGTAAAAGTAGAAGTAGGCCTACTCAGATGTTGTAGCCTACTTGAGTAAAAGTAGAAGTACTCAGATCTTGCTGAGACTGCCAAGGCACACNCAGAAGGGGGGTCTGGGGGGATTGTCCCCCAGGAGATTTTTTGAAATACTAACATATAAACTACCCATTCTGGTACACTCTGAGAAGAAAATAAATAGATGTTTTACAACATATTAATAATATTTTATGCCATTGTTTATTTTTCACTTTGTTCTGACAGCTGAACCTTCTGCTCCTCACAGAGAGAAGAGTAAAGAGGAGATATCTGTGTGAAATAATTTAAATTGTGTGTAAGGGTAGATAGCCCCCATTGTTCTGTGACCTATCAATCATCAAACCGGGGGTCATGTCATTATGTGTTCATTTTGATCTGAAGTTGTACCTATGGATGTATAAAGAATAGTTCTACCGCAAAGTTATTCTCCGTGGGGACTTCCGGCTACAATCTTGATTCTGATTGGCCAGAAGACTCGAAAAAACATCAGCACAGATGTTTTATTGAGAAGATGATCACTACGTGACAGTGGTTTTCAAAACCGTTTATAGTCTCCGGTACTTTCAGTCCAACGCCTACTGCATGCACAGCGTTAGAAAATCGGGCCTTCAAAATAAAAGTTAGAGTTTTTCCCCCCAAAAAAAAAAAAGGGAATTTTTTTTTCTTCCAATTTTCTGTTTTTTCACTCACACATCTGCGACCCACTCGAAACGGGACCCACCAGTTGAGAACCACTGATTTAGACATTACATGTATATTCATTGTGCTATCAGAGGTTACATCTGTTCTTTGTAATTTTGCCATTCAATGAATTGTTGAAGAGCACTTCCATACTTTTCTACAGACTCAACAAAGAATGAGAAATACTTCAGAGCATTTACTAAGATAAAGTAAAAACAGCTCCCATCTGCTGAGTGAGAATAACTTTCTCCCGTTTTATTGTATGCCCATTTCTCTATATGTCTTCTATTTCATGAACCGAATGAGAGACAGGTGACCTTTCAGCCATCTGTTAGTATCAGAGACATCAAAGTTAAGCTGGTAAACTGCGGGATGTGTATCTGCTGAGAGGAGTGGATTAACAGCAACTGACGTCACCAGATTCTTGCTTGCAGAGAGACAGAGATAAAAATGAAATTAAACAATATTGAAAAAATTGTAAGGATTGGATTTCTTCTACACACTTGCCTAAAGAGTGTTTCCTGTAGGCAATGACATGCAAAGATGTAGTTTCAGAATGCAACTGATATTTTGCGTGAATGCTGCTGAATGTTAGTTCTTCCTCAACAGTCCTCAAACGTCTATGCTTTTGTATGTTGGCGGTTATGAAAATCTCTTTCAAACTACAGCCCAATCATAGGAGACACACCCACATGCACACACACACACACACACACACACACACACACACACACACACACACACACACACACACACACACCCTTGACACACAAAACACTCACGCCCCTCCCCGAACAGGGGTCTTTGTGGAGTCAACAAGTCGCTCTGAGTTCTTAATTAGAAGGAAGGACAACACAAGGACTTAACTGACAATGCGTTGACATGGGACCATAAAACATGGACATCAAAGGCTGCCGGCCGCTGTCTTTTTTCCTGCCCTCTACGCAAGGCCTGCCCAAGCTATAAGAAGAAATTCACACAAACAATGCCAAACATAAAGAGCATGGGGCCCTATTTTAGAGAAAGAAACTACCCCCCACCTCTTTGCTCTCCATCATCGACCATGAGAAGGATGTGTTTTTTTTTGGTTGGAGCATAATTGGGAAAGAAAACACATGTAGGAAACAAAAAACATGTGCGGTTTTGATCGTGTTCAACTGTACCACGCTCCCTCCTCCCGCTTCCTGACACAAATGCACACACATGTTCATCGGGTAAGTGTGATAAAAGGATAACACGGAGGGTTTTTGTCTGACACTAACCCCCCCCCCCCCACTCCATTATACATTTCGCAAACATAAACCGTAGGAATGTAGTTCCTGCATCTCTCTCCTGACGCTGCCCTTCAAACACTTGCCAGCTCTACCTCCTACTCATCTCTTTCTGCCTGCCCCTCACTCTTTTCTCTTCTTTGTGTTTATTTTTCATCGCACAGTGTACTGTAACCTGGGGACTCCTCGAGTCAGCAAAGATCAATCTCGCCCACGACGAATTCAATATATTTCCCATTGTCCTGCACTCTATGATTCTTTCTCTATTGGGAAAGCTCGTTTTGTGGTTTTTTTCTTCTCTTTCAGATTAAACCCTAACTCCTGGCTCTTCTCAACAGACTCTCTATTCTTCATTAGGTCAACTGTGGAAGTCAAGAACAAGCTGCAGTTGATGAAGTCATGAACTGGCCTAGTCCCTCTCATGAAAAGCTGTGACAGATTTAGCCCCACGGCCTCCCCTGGACCCTTCTCTCTTAATAAGTTCTCTCTTTTTTCATTTTCTGATGGTCACTTTGGAGACCTCTGAGTTGTCAATGGCAACTCTCCCTCACCCCCCGCCCCAGCACTTTATTTGGCAGGGGACCGTCAAATATCCTGTGCTTCCATGGTGCGCTGCAATAACCTTGGAGTCAGTCGCTCAAGGCCCAGCAAGAGTGCCGGCCTGTGTCTGTGTGTGTGTGTGTGTGTGTGTGTGTGTGTGTGTGTGTGTGTGTGTGTGTGTGTGTGTGTGTGTGTGTGTGTGTGTGTGTGTGTGTGTGTGTGTGATAAGCTTTATGACTGGTGCTTTGGTCCATCAAAGAGATGTGCTCCTCTGTTCTCCTCAAAAACAGACATCCCTTTATCATATCTTGGAAGGATAAGATGACTACATTCTCTCAGGAATTTTTGATCTAAAAGTGATGGCATGCCAGAGGGTGCCGTGGTAAGAATTATAAGTGAGACACTATATCGTGAAAGCCAAGATTCTCCATTAAATGAGGGTTTTAAATGAACCATTCTGCAAGAAATTCTCTCATGTAAAACTGTCTTGTGGGATTGGAGTGGTTTGAGTGCAAGAAATACAACTCAAATGTTTCTTTGTGAGGCATCTTACTTTTTAATATGCTTATTACTTGTCTATGTTTACAGTGCAACATTAAATCAATGGCTTAATGTCTTCATGTGAAATGCCATTTCCTTTTAAATAGAAAACATTCAAAGTGCACGCCACTTATGCTGCATTTCCACACAGCCCAAATCAAAATGTATCTGTTCCAATTTCTTTATGATTCTGTCGACTGTCAATTGACAAATGGATAATTTGACGACAGCTCCTAAATGTTAAATAGGATAACTTTCTCTGCTGAAGAACTGAGAAATCCAAATCACACTTTTTTGACAGCAAAGTTGTCCCTCTCACTTTCCCTCTTCCATACTTGTAGGCCCTTTGAAATCGCTTACCCTCTGTTTAGCTCTTTAGTTCTGTCGCTTACTGTGTGTTTCTCTGACTCTTTTTTTCTAAAGACACAGCTAGTTAAATATAACTTCTGATACAATGGTTTCCCTCCTCCCTGTGTAGTCTGCTCTAGTTGTGTTCATGCCTCCCCCTCCAGATCAATGGACACTGATCAAGACATGGTGGAGACAATAGCAGCAAGTGAGCCACATCAAAGCCCAGTGCCCATTAAAAGCTGATGACAAAGAGAGAACAGAGGGAAAGAGCCATGTTTGATGTGTGTGGCCACAGAGAGAAAACGAGAGAGGTCAAAGAGACTTTACTATCACCATAAACTGCTGCATCACAAACACAATGTGAGACTAATGTACTGTGGAAAAGGACACGTTGTCTCTATATACATTAATGTATTAAGCAAAGGTGATTAAAGCTAGTTAACTATTCGATTTCCAACCCACACGCTGGCACCACATACTGTACGTCTAAAGCAGGGGTGAAGATTTTTTTTAAATGTTGAAGTTAAAAGCATCAATCTGGTGCACTTTGAGAGCAAAATGAAGAGATCTATGGATGCATCAACATATGAAACAGAACTGTAAGCAGATTTTCTTTTTCTTTATGGATATTTTACAAATCACTCCCCTTTCAAACTGCATTCTTCTTTATTAATAACAACTTTTTTTACTGTCATATAGTATTTTATACCTGTTTACTTTATTCTCTTATTTTTTTATAACTATAATGAACATATAAAGACCTGACTTTACCTCACTGGTTGTAGAAAAAGCTTCTTATATTCGTTAGCATAGCTAGCTAACCAGATGCTAATAACAACAAAGTTATTGACTGTATGATCAGTATGTCAGATGAACAGATCGCCACTGGGCTTTCAACTAAAGACACAGCCACGCAAAAACTGCGGCATGTGTACGGCTCCTTATGGGTACTGCAATTTCTGAAGTTCCAGAGGCGTTCTGGTGCTCCCCGTCAGAACTACACCATGAAAGTTCTACACCCCTGTCAGACGAGACATATACCACGTGATGACACGTTAGGCTCGTGATGTGTTCAAGGACCTTGAGCTTGGCCAGGAAAAACAGGCACTCACTAGTTTAATTATTTTGCGGTCTAGATTTCTTACATTTTTTTCTTTTTTACGTGTGTTCATAAATTACCTCGAGGGCCGTACCAAATGGTCTCGTGGTCTCGCGATCCGTATACGGTCCGGGGGCCGGAGGTTCCCCGCCCCTGGTCTAAAGGTAGGCTACATGTGAATGACGGTCTGTCTCAGGCTCGTGAAAGAATCCCACCAATGAGAATAACCCTAGACATGCTCCACATCCTGGTGACTTCA